GGACCTTTTGTTTCCGGGTCATTTATTTGGTTCCTGGACTGTACACATCACTTGCTCCTTCTCCTCACCCCCATAACTGACAGGAGGGTTCTCTGGAGGAAGACCTCATGGTCTGTCCAAGGTGGCAGGAATGAGGGCTCAGGAATGGGGAATGTGTCAACTCCTACTGCCCCCATCACAGCAGAAAATATGTTCAGAGCAGGATGGGCTGAGCTTTTGGCAAAGGAAGCTGGGTCCCCCAGGGCTGTTTTTCCAGAGAAGGCCCAGTTGTTAGCCCTATGACCTCGGCTGGGTCTCTGCAATGCTGACGTCCGTCAATGTGTTCAGCACCCAGGCCCTTGCCTCCTCAGAGCCAACGGAGCCGTTGCAGAGTAACTGTCTGGAATGCACACCTGGCCAAGGCATTATCCAGACCTGGTACTCCAGTGCCCACCGGATAGAGCCTGCACCTTCCAACAAAGATCAACAGAAGCCGGCAACCTTTCCAGCTCCGTCTCCCACTGTCCCAGCCAGGGCTGTGCTGCCTCCAGGAAGCCTCCCTAATCTCTTATCTGGGCAGGCAAGTCTCTCACTTCCTGCTACAGGGCATGGGCTTACCTGTCAGTCTCTCTGTAGGCCGAGTGCTCATGTGGGCAGACTACGGTTAACTCAGTTCTGGCCTAGAGCCAAGCCCTATGCCTTCACTTCAGTCCCATGACTGACACAAACACAGTCCGACCTGCCTTTGAGCCTTCATTCCACATCTACAAATGAGAATTCCGGAGTAAATTGGGGATGGCCAATACGCAGGACATGAACTACTGTTTATGTGCCCCTGCTCATGGTGAACCTGGCCAGTGGGTATCCATTAGGCCTGGACACAGCTTCAGAATCATTCTCAACACAATGTTCTAAGCAGCAGCTACCACCAACCAATCACAGCTAGCATCTGAATGGAAACACTGGCTACTTTCAAGAGAAGATGGCTAGAGATTCCGTCTCCTTCCATTCTCCCCATCTTTTTCTCTAGTCTCTTCTTCCTCTAGACTGGGAGGTACTTGTAGATATTGACACTTGGGGCACTAGGAGCGGGACCCAGGAAGTCGGGGTTTAGACTCCCATTACAGCCCTGGGTTGATAACTTTGGGTAGTCACCTTCCTAAGTCTCACTTTCCCAATCAGCCATGCCTCCTCTGCAAAAACAACTGTGATCAAAATGAAAGTAAGTTGCATGTCTAAAAACACTACATAACTGAAAACAATTATTGGAATTTAAAACAAAACAAGAACAAAAACAGCCTGTACCCAGTACTCCCTTCTCCATGACCCCTGCCCTCCTGTAATTCCCCAGCTCTGGGCCTAGACATCCTCATTGGGCAGCGCCTCTCTTAGAGCCACCTTAGGGCCAAGGGCGCTGGGGACCCACCCAGACCAGTGGGCCTGGTCAAAGCCAAGCCGAGCTTGCCAGATGTGCAGCCCAACTGACTTAAGCTGCATGAAAAAAAAAAAAATGCTGCTGCTTGATTATGTAAAATCCATCTGGAGCCAAAGCAGAAAATCCAAGTTGGAAGGGCCCTCAGAGACCATCTGGTCTACCTGGCTTCATCTACTGGTGAGGAAACTGCGCCCAGAGATGGGAAGCAACTTGCCTAAAGTCACTCAGCAAGCGTGTGAGAGGAGGTGGGGCACTAACACAGGGGCCTTAGGCTCCAGCTCTGTTCCCCTCCCGACTCCGGAACCCCACCCTTGACCTCCAAGCCTGGTCAGAATGCCAGATCTAGAGCTTTGGGGCTGGTTTGGCTCCACTCCTGGTAATGTGAGCAACACAAATAAACTCAGTTCAAACATTTCCTGGGGCCCTAGTGGACACCAGGTGCTGGGATGCCAAGACTGAGGCAATCTTTCTACACCGAATACACAGAATTAGAATGGCCTTGCTAAGTTCTACCATGACCCGAGAACCCCACAATATTCCCCAATAGTGAATATGGCTGGGTCCCAAGCCACCTCCCTGTCAGCCCTCAACCTGCTGCTACTAGACACAATCTCATGCACAGGAACCAGGCAGGCACTGTCCACCTCGGAAACCGAACATCACGTAAGAAAGAGTAAACAGACGGAGGCCAGACCTTCTGACCCCAGGAGCAGCCTCACAGCCTGGCAGTCAGAGGCCCAAGGAAGGGAGTCAGTCCCATTTGTTGCTTCCCGAGGAGCCAGAATGGGGTGGGGGTGTGGCGCACGACGGACAGCTGCTCCCTCCCACCCACCACCCTGGCAGGCTTCTAAATTTAGCACCAACTGGGGGTGGAGTGCTGACCTGAAAACTGGGCTGGCCACTTTGGGACAGGGTCTGGCCAAAGCCGCATTAGCCAACCCAGGCTGCTCCTCAGTGCAAAGACCCTGCTACAGCAGAGCTGCCTGCCCAGGCCGTGGCCAAGAGGGGGAAGAAGTGCAATTGTTGGCTGCAGATAAAACCCTGGATACCATCTCTACTTCCCTTCTAATATCAGAGTGGCCGCCTGCAAGATGAGTGAGGGGCAGGGCCGGCAATCAATAACTAATATTCCTGTTGTGAGCTGGCCTGCTCCGGAAATGGGAAGCCGCTAACTCCTGCCAGAATGATACCCTTTCCCCTTAGCAGTGACCCAGCCCGAGGGGTTCAGCATCATGGCCAGGAAGGACCCCATCCACCTTCATTTGACTGATGGGGAAATGATGCCCTCGGATGGGTGGGGTGTTGGTCAAAGTTCCCCAGGAAGCAGAGGGGCCAGGGCACCCAGCTCTGCTCAATGGTTCAGGCAGCTCTTGACTGTTTAGCCTGACAGCGGATCAGACAATACCTCAAGTCAAGGTGGTCCAAAAGCCACCCCTGTGTGATGGTGGCTGGTGGCAGCTAAATAAGGACAGGAATCAGTCTGGACTTTCTGACCACACACCCCTGAACGTCACAGGGGAGGGCCCAAGAAGTATGTCTGGAATTAAGCCTTAACCATGGGCAATTATACCAAAGCAGGAAGCAGGGAGCTACCCACATATCAGGCAGACCTCGCTTTGCCCCAGACTCAGGCCAAAATAGAAGTTAATGGCCTATTTTTAAAAATACAGCTATTGCCCACCTCTTCCCACCATCTGCACTGGCACCCAGATGACAGCCAGCCTCAACAGGGATGCACACAGGTGGAGCCTGGTCCCTGGGTGGGCTCGGCCCACCAGGCAGGAAAGCCACATCTGCATTCGATCAAGGGCATCCTGGCATCCTGAGAAAGAAGCCCCCAGACAGAACACCTGTGGGCAAGGCCACCAGCTGGGTGCGGAATGCCCTGGGTACAGGGGCCAGAAGACGGCTATCCCGTGGTATGGATGACCATCTCAGATCGCAGCCCTTGGATTTCCCTCTGGGAGAAAGGTAGCGCCTACCTGGTTCCTGTCTTCCTTGGACCCACGGGTTTCCAAGGATTTTTAACGTTTCACTCTCTTTGAAGTCTGGCCCTGCCTGTGGCCTTACCACAAGCTGAGCCCCAGGCCAGGCCCGGTCTAGTCCAACCTGGAGCTACACACTGAGTTCTGAGGCCGTACCCACTTCTACCCCTGGGACAAGATCCCAGTTTGGGCAGCATGCTAGGAATGCATACACCAGGGGTGGCCACCCACTGCCTTGAACCACCATCCCTATTCCCTCTCACTCCCCTGACCACCACCTTGGTGGGCCATATGCTATTTGTTTTCAGGTAACATCCATATTTCAGTGCCTCCCTTCTTGTCTGGTGGAGCAGTGTGTCCTAACCCTCCTGTCCTGGAAGTTAACATCCATCAAAAAGTGAAATCTTGCAAAGCAAAAGTGTCTTCTAGATCGAATCCTATCCTTTACATCCCTAAGAGGTATCCACCCCATGTTTGCTCGGATACTCCAGGGCCGGGGAGCTCCTGCCTCCTGCAGCCCGCGACTCACTGCTGGGCACATGGTGTGAAATTCTGGCTTCCACTGAGCACCAGTGTCCTTGGACTCTGCCTCACTGGGCACAGTTGAGAATTCGTGGGCTCCACAGGAAAATCTTTGCCTTCTTTTCCACACAAGTGCTTCTTCCGTATTCTTATCTGGAAGCGCTCACCTTGCAAAGGCCCGGGGAACTCGGGCAGGTTCTCAAGCCCAGCCACAGACAGGTTTGAAAGAATGGGATGCTACACTCAAGAGCTTCATCATAAAAGTTCCTTCCAGCCCTGCATGCCGACACCTCTCCAAGACAGTACTTCCTGGTCTCAATCTGGTTTAGATGGAATGAGCCCCTCAAAGGGGAGTGCACAGGAGGAGGAGGAGGAGGAAAAGGAGGAGGAGGAGGCACAAAGGAGGTGGCAGCCACACCCAATCCTGACAACATAGAGCCCTTGAGAGCCCAACAAGGTGTCTTTTGGAAAAGGCCAGACTCTCGACCGACGTGGGATCTGCTCCTGCCTCTGGCGGGCCCAGTGCGGGCACAGATGCTCGTGGGGTGCCGTCTGTGATCGCACTCGGAAAAAATCAAGTGGTTAACCAGAGGGAAAGGACTCTGAGACCTGCCAGGATGGTGGGTTTTTGTTTTTTTACATTACGCCTAAGGTTTGTAGTTTGGACAGGCAAAGTAAACAATGACAACGACAGCAGCAACAAAACAGAAACAAAGAATGGTTTACTAGTTTAAGAAAAAGAACGCCTTTGTGAAAAGACAGCTCCACGTGGGCTTGGAAGCAGCCCGCCGCCGGCCTGACCAGGGGCGGCTGTGTCTGACTGTGAAGCGGGCGTGAAGAAAACAAACCAGCACAGGCAGGAGGAGTCTGCTCTCCATCTCTTTTCTCCCCTCCTTGGTTTTTGGAAGGGGTGGAGAAAGGGATGGGAAGGGAAGGGCTCGAACCAGCATAAAGCAACGGTATTTAGACCATGGCAAACTGAGCTACTACTTACTCCTCTCTTCCTCCCTCCCTCCCTCCCGCCGGAGACTGGCTTGGAGTGAAAGGAGCACAGGACCAACCCAGGGCCCAGCACATACCTGAAAGAAACCCGGTGGGATGGGGCCTCCAGGCATCCCATCATTGGGGGGAATGTTGCCAAGCACCGGGCTTGGGGCTGCTGCTGCACTCTGTGGAGACAGGAAGGCGAAGAGTTAGAGAGGCTGCACCCATGACGAGAGAATTCTGACCTCCTGCCCCCACCTCCTGAGAGACATTGTTCCCATCTCCTTGTCTGCCTACATCCTCCACAGACCCTGCTCAATACTGCCCTTCCTAGGCAAGAGATGAATTCTGAGCCTCCATCTCCTCGTCTCTCAAATGGGAGAATGCCCACCATGTTGCACGCACACTGCAGAGCTGTAGTGGGTGGCCAGCATGCTGTAGCTGCTATGAACGCAAGGAGGCCCTGCCTCACCCACTCGGCTGCTTTACGAAGCTCCTCAGGGCAGGCGAGTGCTTCCTAAGTGTCTGTACCCTCTCTAAGAGGCTGGCATGTTGCACAGAGGAGAAGCCTAATAAATACCCACAACTTAATGAGGAAACAGACAGCCCAGCTGGGAAAGGTCCCTGGAGGGGCTGAGGGAGGGCAGGTGTGTTTTTGGTCCTGTCAGGGTCCTGGTGCTGTAGGACAGGAGGTGCACAGTGTGTGTGTGTGTGTGTGTGTGTGTGTGTGTGTGTGTGTGTGTGTGTGTGTGTGTGTGTGTGTGTGTTTTGGGGGGTGGGGGGCATCATTACTTTTCCTTTTAAAGGCTGCTATTCTGGCATTTACCTGGTACATCTGCCTCAACAAATGCCTCCCAGGGGTGAACAGACGCTGCTCACCTCAGCCTGGCCTCCTTCCAGACAATCTGTGTCCCACCTGTTCGTGTGGTCAGCATGTCTGTGCCTGGCCCCGTGCTTGCACAGGCCAGGGCGGGCTGCGCAGGACAACACAGGCCCGACCGCCCTGCCTGGGCCCATGCCCTGCTCCTCCCCACCCATCCTGAAGCTCCCAGGTGTTCCTCCTGCAGGAAGCCCACCTCGGGCCTCAGTGGTCCCCAAACCCCACCAGGACCAAGGATCTGAAACGGAGTCACTAATCATCTCCCAAGGGTCTGACTGGTTCTGAGGCAAGAGTGAGCCCCGGGGGTCAGGAATGCCTCTTTTTCTCTCATAAATGCAGCCTGCCACCACCTTGGAGAAGTCACTTCTTCCCTTTCCTCAGCCAGAAAACAGAAATCAGACAACTCCTGACTTCCAACTCTGACGGAAGGATGAGGCAATGTGTGAATCCCACAGACACATTCCACGCCGCAAGGTGAGCAGATCCCCCAGGAACCAATCCACCGGGGTCCAAGCGCTGGAGCCTGTACCAGCAGGGGTGGCGTGGGCAAGCCAGCTGGCCTTTTTGCAGGAGTTTCCTATAAAGAGTGGGGGTGGCTGCTGTCCCTCCTGTTCGTCAGGGTTGTAGAGGATTAAGTGAGCTGTGTTTTGTAAACTGGGAAAGCTCAGTAATTTGGAAGCAAGGAGGACTCGGTATGGGCACACAGTAGGTATTTTAACAGACCCTAAGTAAAGAGAATGGGGTAGAGTTGGGCTGACCACTCTGGCCCAATGTTTCAAAAATGATTCTGCCAACAGAAAAGCAACCCTTCCTCTCTGTCATTAAAGAGGTTCTGACAACCATCTGTAATGCAGCGATTTTCATCTCATGACACTATTACCAAAATTCTGCAACTGGCCAAAGAAAAGGTCCAATTTTGATTCATTCACACTTGATGGCTATTGTTGTATTAGCTTTTGTCATTTTTTTACTTGACAATCTAAGGGAAAAGAATTCAGTGCCCTGAGTAAATAGTCAGGTATTGCATATTTTAAAAATTCATGCAGCCATTGGCTGCTGTAATGTGTTGTAAACATCCCAAAGATTACAGATTAGGCTTTCCCACCTGCCTAGGTTTGAGGCCACAGTCCCACTCACAAGAAGAAGAAGCCACCCAGTCCTGTTATCTGGGATGAAGGCCGCCTGGGGGAATATGCCAGGTTATCCAATAGCTACACTGCTTGTTTGCGGTTGGCGATTCTGTGAAAAGTGTGAAAATGCAACTTTTCGTGATGTACAGCCAACAATGACTCCTCAGCAGCAGGAGCAGAAAAGTTTAAAAAACAACGGGGCGAGGTAAACACCCACCTATATTTTCTTCCAGTTCTTTCAAAGACTGGTTTTACATTTAACTCTTTAATCCTTCAGGATAGCACTTTGGTAAAGAATATGACTTTACTCCTCAAATAGTCAACTGCAATTGCCCCAGTCATTTTAAACCAGAGACAAAATTCTTACAAAGGGCTATTTCTGAGCATTTGAATTCTCTCCTATGTCTCTAAGAGTCCATTCAAATTATCGGTTTTACAATGTGTTTTATTATCTCCTTTAATTCTTTAATAGAAGTTTTCTTGTTTATTTTTATCTACTTATCCCTCCAAACTTCAGATCATTTATAAAAGTCACCTCCCTCCCAAAAGAAAAAAGTTATTCTAGACAGGGGTGAACAAACAAAACACAGGGTTTGCTCTCATATTATTATTTATTTATTATTGTATTATCTGTCTTCTTACCATCATTATTGCTATTTTTTTGTATCCTTACTTATGATTTATCTTTTCATTAATGTTGGCTGATAATTTACCCAACCACTAACGAAAGTGGATACTTAAACCTGCTTTTGCCCACTCCTATATATAAAAATTTAAAGGAGAGAGAACCGACATCTTTCCAAAATAGAGGCACCCTCCTAAGATCTGGTCTCTGCTATTTAGTTCCGTCATTATTCAAGTCCCCCCAAGAATGATTAGAAAGTGGGTGGGAGCGGCTATCAGTGTGGGAAAGCCAAACCCTCTTTTGTGGAGCTGACTTGTTCTTGGGATGAGGATGGGAAGGGTGTGGCTCCCACGGAGGGGTGCGGGGATCTGGTGGAGGCCCAGCCCTGGTGGTGTGGATGGTGGAAACCATCTGGCCTGAGGCTCAGGAAAGGCTGGTGCTTTCACACCATCTCTCCCTGGACCCTCAAAATGGTCCTCTGAGGCAGACACAAGCACCCCCACTTTACAGGTGAAGAAACAAACACCTGTGGAGAGCCAGCTCAAGACACCCTTTTCCATGTGCCTTCTTCAGAGTCCAGACCTACTTACTCTTCCTCAGCCTTCAGAAGCAATGCTTTGTGTATAAAGAAAGATCTGGAAAGCTTCACCAATTCAGTTCTTTAAATTAGCATATATCATTTAATTTAAAACACTGCCCTATTTTAGAACACAGCAAAGTAAAAAAAAAAAAACTGGTCACTGTAATTTGTTAAATAATGTCATGAGCACTTACCACCACCCCCCAATTAAGTGGCCAAAGAAAACATGATTTTGTAACTGAAACTATTAATATAGATGTATCATTATTTAATCAATTAAAATAGCCGGCATTATATCGGTATTTGCTAACCTACTAATTACAGATTGGCATCTGACTTATCTTTGGACCACTTCCTTTTGAAATGGTTTACACTGGCCATCTGTGGATCTACTTTTATGGTAAAACATTCATGCCCTTTGCTATCTGGGTATGTGACTTTTTTCCTTTGTGATATAGAAGAGCTCTTTATATATTATGAATACAACATAAATATATCTTATAATTTTTTTAAAAAACCCTTTTAAATGAAAACTTGAACCTGGGAGCATGGCTCACTCCAAGATCTCATTTTCCACGAAATCAGGAAGGAGTCAGGGGTTCCAGAAACTGGGGGTGGGTGGGTGGTCCACAGTCCGTTGAATGTCAGGGCTGGGTGGCCATGGTTCTAGTAAGTGGATCGTGTGATTCTCTGGCATCTGGGTGGAGCAAGGACTTCTGCTCCCCATCAGTACGAGGCAGGCCATGTTAGCAGTGACTAAGGTGGCAGGAAGCCGAGGAGATGACTTGTCATTTAAAGCCTCCTCCAGCAGCAGCATTAAGTAGCCTGCAGTGCTTAAATCTGTATCCTGAATTATGACAGTTATTGCTATTCTTTGATTATGAAGTGAAAAATATGTGACTAATGAAAACTTTCCAAAGGACAGAACATCATAAAAAAAAAAAAATAGAACAGCAGCAACCAGAGTTATAGGGTGAAAAAAGGTTTAAGAAATAATCATTTCTCACAAAATCCAATCCAAGGGACCCCCCACATACACACACATATCTATTAACATGACACTGCCCCCCTTCACTTCAACAGCAAGGGCTTTGCCCATTTCAATGTGGGCATACAGCAGGTGTTCAATAAATGATTATGACTTTTATTATTCAAAGACCTGCTCAAACCTGGCCATCTGGAGCCAGGCCTTTCCAGATTGCTAGGAATCGGCCTCTCCCTGCGGTTTCCAACTCTGACTTAGAGTTCCATTAAGGCACTCAGCAAAGCGTCTCATGTGAGTTTTCTCTAAAAACACAAAACCCAAACTGAAACCCCCTGACACTCACTGAGGCCTACAGCTGGCTGGGGCTGTGGTAGCTGCATAGGATGGAAGTCACCACTGGAGCAGGAGAGGAAAGAGTGCTGGACTCGGAAGCCAGAGATGACCCCCCCCCCTCCCCAACACACACACACTGACTCAGTCATAGCTGGGACCCCATGGACAGATCCTTTCTCACTTCTGGCCTCAGTGTCCTCACATGTCAGGTGGAGGAGTCAGAGAAGATGACTTCGAGCTGCTCTCCCCAGCCCAGTCCACACACCTGGGGGGTGGGAGGTGGGGGGCGGGGACTGGAAATAGCAGCTCACACATGAACAGGCAGGCGATCTTCGTTCCAGAGGACCCTGCATGTTACCTCTCCTCCGTGCATTATAGAACACGCAGAGATCAGAGATTACAAACCACCCATTGGAGCCTGAGATAACAGCGATGACATTTGAGCTCCCCCCACCCCAGGCCCTCCTCGCCAACATTACCCACACATGCACATGGACATGGACTAAAAAGGCAGAATCCAATTAGGCATGCAGTTTGGTAACTCATGCATTTTTACAAAACTAACTTAAAATTCTTTCTAAATAGAAAACAGGCCTTGCAGGGTGGTGTGGCTCACTCCAGTCAGCTGCCTCCTCAAAGCCTCTTGGGTAGA